GGTTCTGCAAGAGAGAAACAAACTTAAAGCCCAGCTGTTGGTGGCCCAAGAGGAACTACAACTCTACAAGAGGTAAAAAAAAAAAAACAGTTTCAGTGCTGTTAACTCACCTTATGTCTCTTTTAGTTACTATAGATTAGTAAACTGCTGTGTTTGAGTTATTCCATGATACAGTGTGTTCTGTTCTAAATTGGTGCAAAAAACAGGACAATTTTTGACTTGTGTGCTGGTTTGTCCTAATCTCAACAGCAAATAAAACAATTCTGAGAGAAATGACATCATGCAATAATTCATTTGATATGTGTGGTGGTCTCAGTCAAATTTAGCATCTACTGTGCTTGCAGTGGAGTCCTGGGCTCCGAACAGAAGATGGTGGAAGTAAACCTGGAGACCCTTCCTCAGTCAGAACCTGCACCCTCCACCATTATAGAGGAGCACAAAGAGAAGAGCACCATTCAGAAACTGTGAGTGCTTTTAAATAGTTTTGTCTTTGTCAGAGCTTTGTGCAATTTCAGGGGTGTATTTCAGAAAGTGAGAGTCTGCTAACCACAGAAAAGGTAAATTCAGAGTTTTCGGTTCCAATATAAAACAAAACTGTCAGTAAGTTACCATAGTGTGAACCTAACTTGTTCGGGAGCAGGTTTCCTTCAGTAAACCCAGTTTCATTTGGTCTCCTCCCCCTTTTTAAAGCGTAAGCGATGTTTAAATACCTCATTCATTTATTCATTCATGCAGCAAAAATGCTTTTATTGCTGAGATTTTTTGCCTTATTTCAAGTAGCCTATAAATATCTAAAAATTCTTAAATCAAGATGCATTTTATATATAAAAAGATATATATATAATACGATATTTAGTCTTGTTTCCTGGAGGAAACAAGTAAAATGATCTGCCAGTGGGGTAAGAAAAATTATCTTAATGCAAATGCAAGCAAGATAATTTTTTCTCACTGCACCACTTTCATTTTCATCATGCATTTCAAATGTGACACAAAATGGCATGTCTTTTAACATGGGATCCTGTAGATGAGGAGGCTGCATTCATTTGCGGGGAGTTACATTTAGGCCTACATCAGGATTTTATTTTATTTTGCCATATCCACATGCAAAGTTTATTAGAGCGGTAACACTTTTAAATGACGTTCACTTGATAACATCTTGCTGCGACCTCTGGAAGTAACCTAATAATTAGAATTTCCTTTTAGGTTTTCCAGTGTGGTTGGATGCATTGATTACACGCATATTCTCACCATCGCACCTTCCAAAAATGAAACTGATTACTGTATTGAATGGAAGGATGCCAGATGGAAGGGTAGTGCTAGATATATGCTGTAACCACCACCACAGCTGTTATATAAACACAAATTATTCACATTTAATTCGGTCATCTTTATTTCCTACAAATACAAAGCAACACTTATACTTTTCCCTGTTGGATTTTAATATTGGTATTGTGGCCATCTCCTCTTCATCTGTCAGTGGTGCTGGTGCAGGTTATCCACCCATTTTACGAGTCTCTGCCTTCTTGCTGTTGGCTGAATAGAGGTCAAATGTTTATTTCATAACCCTAATTAAGAAATGTATGTTGGATTGGAGAACATTTAATTGTGAAAAGAGCATTAGACCATGTGGAAAAAGCCACCGCACATTGAAATAGACACTGAATGATATTTATTGAATATGTCAAATGTTTGTAAAGTCATGTAGCCTACACCCATGAACCTTTTACACTTGAAGCTTTACCTGCTTGAATTTTTATGTTTAATTTTTTTTTCTGCTGCCACGTTTTTTTTCCTTTTTTGCCCATGGGATACCACGAAAATGAAGATTAGTTCAATAACTTACCGTTCTGCCAGTTTTCACCTCTGATATTATAAGTGATTAAGAATTACATATTGCATAGTAAATGCCAACCCCTCAGAGGACCTCAGATGATGCCAACCCTGAAACAACATACAGAACTAACACATTTTGCTATAAGTTTGATTGCATCATGTAATAATTGCTGTTAATAGTGTTCATCATCTGTTTTATTACGTCTTTAATTGATTTTTCCATACATTTCTGCCATATTTACATTGACTGACAGTCACCACTGATAAACTACCACTAAATATTGTAGAAACTTAATTTGCTGTAAAGTTGCTTTGCAATGATTTGTATCGTGAAAAGCGCTGTACAAATAAACTTGAATAGTATGCGGAAGTCTTTCTGTCGGTGCTGCCATGGTGAATCATAATTTCGGAGCTCTATTGATCATGGCTTTTCAAAGTCGTGGTGCATGCGCTAAACTCAAATTCAGAATGGATTGAACTAACTCTGTTCAGCTGTTCAGAAACCGAAAACTCAAGAGCTTCCCATCTCAGGGTAAGTCAACTCAGAGTTCAAGTTTGAACTCTGAGTTTGTTGAACCTCCTTTCTGGAATACACCCCAGATCAGTCATTTTGATATTCAAAGCATTATACTTATACGTTTATTCATCCGAAAAGTAGGAGTTGGCTGATATACTGTTTTAATCTTAAATAAATTACTTTTTAGTTCAAATATTTAGTTACAACATTTAGAAATTACATATTCAAGACTCTTTTTGACACAATTACTTTTTGGGGGGACAAATGGATCAGTCTGATTTAATGGAATATGTCAGTGGAAATACATATGCCAGTATTGCAAGGCAGGTGTGTGTACCTGTAAGCCTGTTGTGTCTTGTAGAATTTCTGTACCTTTTTTTCATTTATTGACGACTCATGTGAGTGGCGTTTCCAGTAGCTGGAAGGTGCAGCAGGTCTGGAGTCCTGCCCAGTGGAGTTTACCCCTCTACCTTGAGTTATACATTTGTCAAAATCATACAAAATATATTGTTTCAAAGCAGCTTTACAGAGGTCTATGTTTCAGTGTCAATAGATTCACAAATAATGTGCTTTAATGTCTTTGAGTGTCCAGTTAGCAAGCCAGAAATGGATGTAGAAAGGAAAAACTCCTGAAGATATTTAGGTATTGAAGAGAAAATCTTTGTTTGTTAGTTTGAGATAATCATTCTATTGTTGTATCTGTTCTGTTATATTAATGTCTTCCAACTTTGGCACTTTTGATAATATGTTTAATATTGATAATATGTATAATAAGTGTATGTTTATGACATTTCTTTTGTGATTGGCAAAGATTTCTTAAAGTCCACACAGGTGCTCGGTATGTCCACAACTGCATTAAGCCATGTTTAGAGCTTTTCTGCTCTAAAGAAGAATGCTGTATTAGATCTTATATAGGTCTTTGTAACATTGACCATATTTTATGATTCTGTGTGTCGATGTTGCTGACAAACGGTCTCTCTCTTTTTCAGGTTCTCATTTCGGCAAAAATAGTTACCAGGATTTAGCACAAACTAAAACACATTTGAGACAAGCAACACTTCCAACAGGGTGAGGAGAGATGGGAAGAAGTGATCTTTTTAATACTTCCAATTTCTGTCTGGAAATCCTTCGCCTTGCTCCTATTTTTAATTGTGTACATTTTTAACTCCGTGATTGTGACCGTTCTCACTTTGTTCATCATTGAGTGTGAATTCAAACATGAATGACAAGATATCAAAGTATCAAATGTCCCTCTAAATACCTCCCTTAGCTAATATACATTTGCAGACTATTTGAAACACACTAGATTTTCATTAACATTGTTCCACAGTATCTTTTACTGTAATATGACATTACTAGAATCAATTTTATATCAAGTCATTTTATGAATAGCACAATGACACATTTAAGGACTATTTTGGTAACAGTACTAAACCTAATTAAATGAGCTTAAACACACTGATTTGGTGTTTATATTCCATATGAGGCTCTAAGGCCTTATTTGTGAGCTTACTGAATTAGAAAACATCTTCAGACTGTACCTGTTGAAGGTGTTGACAAGCTTTTAGATACAAAAACTATCCATATGATTATGCACTTTCTAGTCTTCATTTTAATAAACTAAGGATCACTAGGAATTGTAATGTTAAAATTTAGGTACTTCAACTAAAACACAAAAAGGCTGCTGTATAAGGTCATGTGTAGTGCACTAAATCTCATTAAGGTATGTGAAGTGGTAAATTGTGGGCCATATGAATGTAAAAATTCACTTTTATTGGCTTGCAGTATTTATTGTAATTAAGTAATAGCCTGGACAAATGTTTTTGACAGCAGAGTCGAGTTTTTTCTGCAATACTAAGGTATTTAAAAATGCTGTTCTCAGTACATGGGCCCTGTTGTTTGTACATAGATTACTGGAGTTAACGTGTAGTTGCATAACATAAGATTGAATTATTTAAACTATATTTGGCCATCTTAAATTGATTTCCCTAGTTTTTATTTTCCAATCAATCAAACTTCTGATCATGTGTGTCTGTTGCTGTTCTTTCCCTTATTTGTGTGTATTGGATGTTTCCTATGTCCTATATTTCCAGTATCCTTTATAAATGTTTTTTTTTATGTGTTATTAATGTGTTTGAAATGTAATAAATAGCTTTTGTCACAAAGTTTTTTGTGCATGTTTTTTTTTTTTGTATAATGGCTCTCTGAATTATATTTTAACAACCAGTAATATAAATTAATTCAATTGTGTTTACAGGACCCAGTTTTCTAAGTGTTTTGGTCCTATTTCATGGTGGTGCCTGATGGGATTCTTGCAGCAAGATGCAGTATAAAAAAAATAAGCAAGTGTATCACTTAAGCCTTAGATTCTTCTGATTGGAATTACGGTCATCGTCATGTTTTTATAGTATAACATTTGATATGTTATGCTTTGAAGATTTATTTCAATCATAAATGTATTTGTGATTAAAAGAAACTGTCTAAAAACAATCATGCAAAGTTTTGTGCAGCTGAAATGTTTTTGCACAACATTTTAAAACATTAATAAAGCATAAGGTTTATATTCTGTGATTCTGTAATGTTGTAAATCCTTATAAAATTTTAAGACAAAGGATTCAAAACCAACAATTTCTTAATGTGGTATAATTGCTTTGAGATTAAACGTAATTTTGCATATACAAATGTACAGTAACTACACACATTTGAATATTCTCATATATTTAAAATCAGAGGCTGGTATTCTTATACATGTCTTATTAAAATTAAGTCCCCCCCCCCCCAAAAAAAAAAAAAAAAAAAAAAGCAACTAAGATGTAGAAATCATTTAAAAAACAATTTTACAGTTGCTGTGGTTCTTTCAAAACCTCACACAATTCATTTTATGATACCATTTGTTACAGTGAACGGTTTGGCAACTCCAAACATCAATGTATGTCTATGTTATTCCACTAATTTAAATGCTATTGGAACAAGACAACTAAACAGAGTGAATTAATGCTTAAGCCAAGGATGAGCAGCGATGGCTTCTTTACTGCGGTCACCGTAATCATAAAGCAGCTCCTCATCTACTTTGATGTCTCTGGAAGTGAGGAAGATGAGGTGAGGTGTGCCATTTATCCCATGCATTTTGGTCCGAAGGTTGCCATTCTTACTGTGGTTGATCAGTCGGCCCAGACGGTCAGTTTCTTTGGTAGCATCCACACTTAAAACAAACAAACATTAGATTTATTAACATGTCTCTCCGTTGACGAACAGTTTTCTGTCAATTCTAAGTTCATACAGATAGCAATGTTTACCTCAAATCTTGCATTAAAGCATATCAATAGTCAAAGTAAGATTAAAGGGGTCATATGATGTTGCTAAAAAAAAAGAACATTGTGTGTTTGGTGTAATGAAATGTTTATTTGGTTTAAGGTTAAAAAAAAAAAACATTTTCCATATACTGTACATTACTGTTTCTCCTCTATGCCCCGCCTTTCTGAAACGCTTAGATTTTTTACAAAGCTCATCTTTCTGAAAAGCGAGGTGTGCTCTGATTGGCCAGCTATCCAGTGTGTTGTGATTGGCCGAATACCTCAAGCATGTGACGGAAATGTTACGCCCCTTACCATACTACGATGCAGTGTCCCGGCCAGAGTGACGAGACAAAAACCATTCAAACCCCATTATAAACGAGGCATTTGTTGCATCCAGTCAGGACATAATTGCAGATTATAATGACTTGTACGGTCTTTTTACGCATTGCATCGCGCCGCGTAAACATAAACCCATGTCTGCATTTGTGATCAGAGAAATGAAAAACAAGCGCTACTCTACACTGCTCAAAACTCGCGTTAGAATCTTCAGTGGCAAATTCTTTAAATATGAAAAATGTACTTACAGTCTGTGAGTCAGAACAGTCGGCATTGTAGGCTACTCTTCAAGGATCAGGAAACAGTCCTCCATAAAATGCGCTACACACATCTGAATATTTGGGTTAAACTGTTCTGGAACAGTGTTGTAAATACAACTTAACCACTGATTTCTAGTCGTGTCCTCTTTTGGAAAGCCAAACAAAGTAGTTTCGCTTTCACAATGAAACACACGGCGGCTTGAGTGAGCGGCGGCGGCCTGGAGTGAGCAGAGGCCGGGGGCTAGAGTGAGGAACGGCCGGAGGGCTAGAGTGAGCGGAGGCCGGTGGGCTTGAGAATGGCGTGGCCGGAGGATTCGACGAAGGTGTGACGACCCCGGGCTGGACTCCGCTTCGTCCACGGTGAAAACCGATCCGGCGATCCACAGCGCGAAGTTGATGTATTTCCTCAGCGACCAGCACAGATCAGCTCTAGGCATGACGAAGCGGTTCTTAATCTTAATCTTTTGGAAGGCCAAACAAAGTAGTTTCGTTTTCACAACGAAACACACAGCGCCTTCACGACATGGCGGCAGCAACAATACTACAGCGAGAATAAAAGTTATGCCTTCTTTCTTTGCGTGAACATTTGGGTGGCGTAATGCAAATCTTCCCACATCGTGACATAGACATGTGGGGGCGTGTTAGAACGAGCCATTTTAGGTAGGTGTGGTTGACTCTGAACTTTTATAAAGAATATTTCTTTGGATTTGAGACTTTAGTCTTTGCAACTTTACAGATCTTCTTTATGCACCAAGAGCTTGTAACACTCCAAAGAGAAAGGAAATTGAAATCGCATCATATGACCCCTTTAAAAAAAAAAAAAACTTCTCACCAGAAGATTGTTTTATGAAAAGTAAAAACACACCAAAATACTCACCAGTAGGTTTTGTCATGGTAGCGGAAATAGTACATGTAGCAGCCAGTGGTTGGGTCTTGAGCATATTGAGACTCTCTTGCTTTAGCATCAGCAATCTCTAACAATTCCCCATGGTACTCTACTACAAACTGGTCTTTCTGAAATGTTCGGTCTGCAAAAACACCTCTTCCTCTTCCATCAATACTTTTCACCTGATTTTGAAAATGGAAGATGCTTAAACCCAAGCAATGAAAAGTTGTAAAGTTAAAATGTAGACCGATTGCTTAAAAAGCTTACCTTGAGCCCCTCTTCAACATTGTTTTTGATGAGATCATCAAGGTGCTGCCGCTTTTCACACTGTTTTAACACAACATGTCCACATTTAGCTCTGGATTTAATAGAATAAATGTTTGCCAGAATGATAAAGTAAACAAATGTTGAAAATTGATTTATCAATGGTAAATTGGTTTTAAAATAATGGGTCTTAAGAGCTAAAAATGCACAGCAAAATTAAAATGGTAGCATCTCTTTTCTTCTGTATTGTGATGTACATCAATGCATAACGGAAGAAAATGCAGAATGGGACTTGGTTCAATGCATCGTTATTGAGATGTAGGTGTGGCCATCAAAGTTTGCAGGGGTGGAGTTTATGTAAGGGTACATTTACGCAACAACTATTGTACTAAAAACCGAAGTTTTTCCCTTTGCATTTTTGAGACGTTTCGCATACAGAAAACAACTTTGTCAAAATGATCCCTACAGATTGAAACTAATATGCTGAAAATGGAAGATGCTTAAACCCAAGCAATGAAAAGTTGTAAAGTTAAAATGTAGACCGATTGCTTAAAAAGCTTACCTTGAGCCCCTCTTCAACATTGTTTTTGATGAGATCATCAAGGTGCTGCCGCTTTTCACACTGTTTTAACACAACATGTCCACATTTAGCTCTGGATTTAATAGAATAAATGTTTGCCAGAATGATAAAGTAAACAAATGTTGAAAATTGATTTATCAATGGTAAATTGGTTTTAAAATAATGGGTCTTAAGAGCTAAAAATGCACAGCAAAATTAAAATGGTAGCATCTCTTTTCTTCTGTATTGTGATGTACATCAATGCATAACGGAAGAAAATGCAGAATGGGACTTGGTTCAATGCATCGTTATTGAGATGTAGGTGTGGCCATCAAAGTTTGCAGGGGTGGAGTTTATGTAAGGGTACATTTACGCGACAACTATTGTACTAAAAACCGAAGTTTTTCCCTTTGCATTTTTGAGACGTTTCGCATACAGAAAACAACTTTGTCAAAATGATCCCCATTCACACGGATCCCTACAGATTGAAACTAATATGCTTGACATGTCACCGTTATCACAAATTCAATTTTTAGTAGTTTACACCGAGACGAAAACAAAAACTTGCACTTTGAAACCAGTTTTCAAAAGTCTGCATTTTCAGGCCCCCAAAATGCAGTTGACGTGTAAATGAATAGCCAAAACGCATAGGTTTTTTCAATTTTGTAGAAAATTGTTTTGAATAAAAGCCCCGTGAATGATTGATGAAGTCTTGCTTGTCACCAGAAGGAAGTCTGGCATTTTTCCCCAGAAGATCCAAGTATGAAAATTACGAGGTACATTTTTTAAAGAAAAATACATGAATGAATCATTCACAAAAAGCTCTATAACATGCATTTAGCCAACTTCAAGAATAAACAACATAATAAAAAAAAACCGATTCTGGAAGAGTTTACCAACCTTCAACTCAGCTTTGCCTTTCCTGCAACTTCGCCTAACAGGAAAATAATCTGTGACCTTTCGATTGGGTTCAGACTCTTTGTTTTTCGATCTAAAATAAGATAAACACACAATGCAAGAAGATTTTACTTCTCAGTGAAATAGATGCACAAACTTTTTTCCACTTATAAAACACACACACACACACACACACACACACAGAGTAACTAAATCAAATAATAAATGACTGAAACGGTCAACTATTTATTAGATATTTAAAACTAGACATACTTCCTGTCTTTTGACTTTTCACCATTTATCCTGTGCACAGATTGTGTTTGCTTTCTTGTCCCAGACCCTTCACGAGGCACAGTCTGCTCATTAGGTCCACAAATAAGGCTCTGTTTGTCAGGGTCCCCTTTTTTAGGTGCATTCGGCTCTGCGTCTTTGACTAACCAAAAAAAGAAGAAAGTAGTAAGTAAAACCAACTCTAAACAAAGACAAATGAGTGTATCGTTATTACGATTTAAATAAAAACCTTCACTCTGTTCGCTGGTTTTGGGTAAACGGTCCGTTGCTGTATTGTCGTCTAAAATAAGGTTAAGTGGGTTATTCCGGAGCGGCTTGTTTAGATTCAGAAAACTATGTATTGTTGGCTGCCCTTGGCATGTCTGAAAGACAAATAGAAACATTCAAATCAAATGAATTTATTGATGAGAAAATGCATTCTTAACGCGTTTAAGGCGAGTAACGTTAGTAACCGTTACACAACATCGCTCAGTAACACTCATGCACAGTTCGGACTGAACGAATACAAACGCATGTCTCCTACCGTGGTTTTCCCGTCTCTGTTCTCTTTAGCCTCTTCTACTTTCTCGTTTATACTGCCGTCCACAGGTCTTCGTTTGGCAGAAGTGGACTTTTTGCCTAACGAGGAAGTTACATGAACAATGTTTATTTCTCCAAATGATGTTACGAGTTCGCTAAACGAATGATTGTCTCTTTTTTTTTACCTTTTCCCATCTTTGTACTGGATTTCTCACAACAAACGAAATGGCTTATAAACACTACAGCAATACAAATAACTCTGTCAGGCTGCCTGGGTTTTAAATATCATTCGCAGCGTTCATTGGTCAAGCCCTTGAAGAGTAGGATTGTGATTGGTTTACAGAACACGGAAGCAGTAAACTACTTGCGTCTTGCTAACTGACGTACTTCCGACATGAAATATTCGCTGTTTTCCAGTTATGTAGTAAAATAGTATTTATAAATTATGTAAACAAAGTTTAACTTTTTTTATTTATTTTTTTACTCCTTTCAATGTATGAATTACAAATAATATTGTAACAGTATTACTATTAATTTTATTTTTTTAAATAATCCAAAACAAACCCCAAGTTTTGTACAGATACAGTCAAAGAAAAAGTGCACAATGCTCTTAATTTAAAAATGATTAATGTACATACATATTGCAACATCTGTTTAACGGGGTGAATTCTGCAAATAATTTTCTTAATGCTATTTTTCGGTCTATAATTCTTATGATTTCAACTAATGCTGAAATCAAAATTTGAAAGTATATTGTATAACCATTAAGTATATTCCATATTCATTCCATATTTAATTATCGACTACAGTCACATAATTTGATGGACACTAATGTATATTTTCTGAATATTCTTAAGTAGGCTACAATTGTCACTAACAAAATGACATTTTTAAAATGGTTGTCAAAATATGCAGTGCTGTGAAAATGTTTTTGCCCCCTTCCTGTTTATTTAATTTTTTGCATGTTTGTTACACTTATATGATTCAGATCAAACACATTTTAATATTACACAAAGATAACCCAAGTAAATACAAAATGCAGTTTTTAAATAATGATTTTATTTATTAAGGGGAAAATGCGGTCCAAACCTGCCTGGCCCTATGTGAAAAAGTAATTGCCCCCTAAATCTAATAACTGGTTGTCCCACCCTTGGCGGCAAAACCTGCGATCAAGCGTTTGCGATAACTGGCAATGAGTATCTCACGTCGCTGTGGAGGAATTTTGGCCCACTCTTCTTTGCAGAATTGTTTTAATTCAGCCACATTGGAGGGTTTTTGAGCATGAATGGACCGTTTAAAGGGATCATATGATGCTTTTTTAAAATCATTATTTGTTTAGATTCAGAAAACTATGTATTGTTGGCTGCCCTTGGCATGTCTGAAAGACAAATAGAAACATTCAAATCAAATGAATTTATTGATGAGAAAATGCATTCTTAACGCGTTTAAGGCGAGTAACGTTAGTAACCGTTACACAACATCGCTCAGTAACACTCATGCACAGTTCGGACTGAACGAATACAAACGCATGTCTCCTACCGTGGTTTTCCCGTCTCTGTTCTCTTTAGCCTCTTCTACTTTCTCGTTTATACTGCCGTCCACAGGTCTTCGTTTGGCAGAAGTGGACTTTTTGCCTAACGAGGAAGTTACATGAACAATGTTTATTTCTCCAAATGATGTTACGAGTTCGCTAAACGAATGATTGTCTCTTTTTTTTTACCTTTTCCCATCTTTGTACTGGATTTCTCACAACAAACGAAATGGCTTATAAACACTACAGCAATACAAATAACTCTGTCAGGCTGCCTGGGTTTTAAATATCATTCGCAGCGTTCATTGGTCAAGCCCTTGAAGAGTAGGATTGTGATTGGTTTACAGAACACGGAAGCAGTAAACTACTTGCGTCTTGCTAACTGACGTACTTCCGACATGAAATATTCGCTGTTTTCCAGTTATGTAGTAAAATAGTATTTATAAATTATGTAAACAAAGTTTAACTTTTTTTATTTATTTTTTTACTCCTTTCAATGTATGAATTACAAATAATATTGTAACAGTATTACTATTAATTTTATTTTTTTAAATAATCCAAAACAAACCCCAAGTTTTGTACAGATACAGTCAAAGAAAAAGTGCACAATGCTCTTAATTTAAAAATGATTAATGTACATACATATTGCAACATCTGTTTAACGGGGTGAATTCTGCAAATAATTTTCTTAATGCTATTTTTCGGTCTATAATTCTTATTTCAACTAATGCTGAAATCAAAATTTGAAAGTATATTGTATAACCATTAAGTATATTCCATATTCATTCCATATTTAATTATCGACTACAGTCACATAATTTGATGGACACTAATGTATATTTTCTGAATATTCTTAAGTAGGCTACAATTGTCACTAACAAAATGACATTTTTAAAATGGTTGTCAAAATATGCAGTGCTGTGAAAATGTTTTTGCCCCCTTCCTGTTTATTTAATTTTTTGCATGTTTGTTACACTTATATGATTCAGATCAAACACATTTTAATATTACACAAAGATAACCCAAGTAAATACAAAATGCAGTTTTTAAATAATGATTTTATTTATTAAGGGGAAAATGCGGTCCAAACCTGCCTGGCCCTATGTGAAAAAGTAATTGCCCCCTAAATCTAATAACTGGTTGTCCCACCCTTGGCGGCAAAACCTGCGATCAAGCGTTTGCGATAACTGGCAATGAGTATCTCACGTCGCTGTGGAGGAATTTTGGCCCACTCTTCTTTGCAGAATTGTTTTAATTCAGCCACATTGGAGGGTTTTTGAGCATGAATGGACCGTTTAAAGGGATCATATGATGCTTTTTTGCAAAGCAGCCCCAGATCATCACTTTGACTGTTGGTATGTTCTTTTTATGAAATGCCGTGTTGGTTTTACGCCAGATGTAACAGGATACACACCTTCCAAAAAGTTCAACTTTTGTCTCATCAGTCCACAGAATATTTGCCCAAAAGTCTTGGGGATAATCAAGATGTTTTTTTGGCAAACGTGAGACGAGCCTTTGTGTTCTTCTTGGTCAGCAGTGGCTTTTATGTGGATAATGGCTCTGACCGTGGTTCGCTGGAGTCCCAAAGCCTTAAATGGCAGTAATCAGGCCTGAGTGTGGCTAGTCAAATTTAACTCAGCTTTCTAAAATAATGTGGTTAATCACAGTTCTTTCATGATTGAAAGATTCATGTAGGGCCAGGTAGGTTTGGACAGCTTTTTTCCCTTAAAGTGCCCCTATTATGGGTAATGAAAGGTTATTTTCATTAAATTTTGGTTTTGGGAGTCCCCAACAACAGGATGACATGCATGCAAGGTCAAAAAACTCTTTCATTGTCTTATAATATGCATTTATTTTTATCTTACTTGCTCAACGATTCATTTTTCCAAACCCCTCCTTTGCGTGAAGCTAATCTGCGGTGATTGGTCGAGTGGTCTCATTTTAATTTCATCATGCCTGTAATGCCTGATAAAGCAGCTTTTGTGAGCAGTGCTGCTTTGTGTACAGCGTTACCAGGGAAACAGCTATTTTTTACCTCTCCAAAAGCGGCACCTAGTGGCAAAAAATGAATTTACATTTTCATTCAGACCAACCCGAAAAGACCAACAAGTGGGCGGGCAATATGCTAATACTTCATGACTTCAACATGAAACTGCTTGGGATTAATTTGAAAAATGACTAATTTCAATGATTCAGAGTCGACTCTTTCTTTTGAGGGACAATAACTTTATACACGGTGCACTTTCAGATTTAAAACTTTGCAGGAAGTTCTCATTCACTTAGAGCTGTGTTACACACTGCATGAAAGGTAATTTTCAAAAATCCATAATGGGGCACTTTAAAAAATGAAATCATCATTAAAAACTGCATTTTGTATTTACTTGCATTATCTTTGTGTAATAAAATTTGTTTTATGATCTGAATCTTTTAAGTGTGACAAATATGCAAAAAATTTAAAACAGGAAGGGGCAAAACCCTTTTTATGGCACTGTATATATATTTTGTGATCAATGCTTGTACTGTTTCAAATGAATTATGCTTGTACATAATCACTCATGATAGTAACACCTTGCTGTTTATGAAAATGATTAATTAATTAATGAATTATTTGAGAGTCTGGCGACAACCAAATTTCTAAAACAAAATTGCTATAAACCAAAAAAGTTTTTGGATATACCTTTTGAACTAAATGGATTTTGAATCCATTTGACAATAAGGATAATGTTGGATGATTCAAAATCAAGTCAGTTTAACCCACCTTACTTGGGTTAAATGAATGTGACCAGAGAGGGATTGATGTCCTACAGCTGGACTGGTATGTGTTTCTGTTTCCTATACAATCACACAAGTCACTGCTTATTTATGCACTGTGTAGATTAGATGCGGATACATAAATCATCAACCAGCCTTTCTGTGCTCTTTGCATCTTTGTTTATTAACCAGATGTTATGTACTTAACAAGCTATGGCCTCTCACTTTACAGAAACCTTAGTTTTCACTTCAACAAAACCAGGGACATAAGAGCAATTTGCTCACAAACTTTAAAATTGTTATCAAACACAAAGTTAAAGTTTTAATTGTTATAACAGAGCCAAGCACTGTAATCCAGTTCTCCAAATATCACCCCAATATCTTAATTTACAGAATATACTGTTAAAGCGGTCTTGTCCACAGTGTATACTAAAAGGAAAAAAAAATGTTGAAATAATGTGCTTCTCAGCATTTGTCATCTTCTTGGTCTGAGTACAGCATCTCCTTGAATCGTCTCTTTTTTTCCATGTTTTCATTTACTTTTTGCCGTTTTTCCTGTTTCCTCTGTATGGATTCCTTTTTCATTTTCAGCAGTTCACTTTCCTCACCCTTATACGCAATTTCCAGTTTCTCACGTAAAATCTCCCGTGCTCGTTTTCTGTTCAAATCCACCGATCTGGTCTGGTGACACTGCAAGAGAACATGAGCTCCTTTTATTAAAGTAGTTTGGAATTGACAGATTACGCAAGAGTATGTTGGCTTGACACCAATGCATCATGGGTGCCATTCTCTGAGGGTTTTGGGACATCACAACTCTGTCAAGAAAATTGCTCAAATAACTTTGGTTAACTGGAGTTCAACTTATTCTATTCATCTCTTCATTGATAGCCCATTTGTCAGGATCAACCATATTGACTAAAGCTGTTTATCCACTAATCCTAATACAAAACCATTAATCGTCACCTAACAATAACACACAAAGACAAATTGAAACAACAACACATAAAACAGGTCATCCTACCGTTTCAAGATGTGCAAAGTTTTTTCACTCTTTCAAATTATTTCCAATTCTCACAGATTTTCAGTTCAGATCTACTTATAACCATACTAGACAACACTTATCAAATGCATTTTTGTACTATAGTTTTAATTAATTAAATAATGCACTATAATTTAAACCCGAAGTAAAAATTTTATTTAACAACATTACAAATACAGTTTGAAGAAATTAATCAAGAAAGGTCAAAAGAAGCATATTAGATTGAGACATAAATGGCTAACAAAAGGGGAAAAGAATAACATACAGTATTTCTTTCATTTATAAATGTTCATACACTTTAAATTCAGCCTTAACTGATTCCAGTAACTTCTTGTGTGGCATTTCAGATGGCAATATTAGGTTATTTTGCAATAAAGAGGTAAAATCAGAAGTTAAGAAATGTATTGGCAATTTAAAGGGGTCATATGATGCGATTTCAATTTTTCCTTTCTCTTTGGAGTGTTACAAGCTCTTGGTGCATAAAGAAGATCTGTAAAGTTGCAAAGACTAAAGTCTCAAATCCAAAGAGATATTCTTTATAAAAGTTAAGAGTCAACCACACCTACTTAAAACGGCTCGTTCTAACACGCCCCCACATGTCTACGTCACTATGTGGGAAGATTTGCATAACGCCGCCCAAATGTTCACGCAAAGAAAGAAGGCGTTACTTTTATTCTCACTGTAGTATTGCTGTTGCTGCCGCCGCCATGTCGTGGAGGCGCTGTGTGATTCGTTGTGAAAGCAAAACTACTTTGGTTGGCCTTCCAAAAGAGGACGATATTGC